CTACAAATTAATGATTAATTACAAAGGAAAGATAAGAACCCTGGGGGACCCCACACCATAGCTAAGTGATCAAAATGCACATCACTGTTACTGGAACAAATAGCATCATGTGCCTCTGATATGGGGCACGGAGAATGGAACGCCTCCATTTCTGGGGTGTTCCTGCTGCAAATGATAGCCAGAGTCTCATCACAAGGAAACAGCAGAATAACCCAAATTAGAGACACTTGATAAAGTAAGTGACTCCAAAAATGCCAATGATGTGAGAAATGGCAAAGGATTGAGGAATGTCTCTGATTAAAGGAGATTAAAGAGATGAGACAATTAAATGCAACACATTATCCCCCACTGGAAAATGTTACTATGAAGTACATCATTGAGACGACTGGGGAAAATTGAATATGAACTGTGTACGAAAGCTTAGCAGATTATTAGTGATAATGTTCCTAAATTTCACAATTGTATTGTAGTTCTTTCAGAGGATGGCACTGTTTTTAGAAGATGTATATTGAAGTACACATTTGATAGGGGTACTTGTGTCTAAAAGTACTCAAAAATGGTTCAGCAATAATAATAATTGTGTGTGTGTGTGTGTGTATGTGGAGAGAGAGGAGAGAGAGACAGAGAGAGAGAAAAAGAGAGCACTATCAGAGGCATTGGAACCAGAGTAACTCCATCTTGAGTAGGAGCTGGGTAAAATAAGGCTGAGACCTACTGGGCTGCATTCCCAGGAGGTTAAGGCATTCTTAGACATAGGATGAGACAGGAGGATGGCACAAGATACAGGTCATAAAGACCTTGCTGATAAAACAGGCTGCAATAAAAAAGCCAGCCGAAACCCACCAAGATGGCGATGAGCATGACCTCTGGTCGTCCTCACTGCTACACTCCAGCCAGCTCCGTGACAGTTTACAAATGCCCTGGCAATGTCAGGAAGATACCCTGTATGGTCTAAAAAGAGGAGGCACGAATAATCCACCCCTTGTTTAATATATCATCAAGAAATAACCACGAAAATGGGCAACCAGCAGCCGTCGGGGTGCTCTGCCTATGGAGTAGCCATTCTTGATTCCTTTACTTCCTTCATAAACTTGCTTTCACTTTCCTCTATGGATTCAGCTCGAGTTCTTTCTTGCACAGGATCCAAGAACCCTCTGTTGGGGTCTGAATCGAAACCCCTTTCTGGTAACAGCACTATTCCAGCAAAATGTTACTGGGTGGCTCTATGGGAAAGGCATATGGATGTTCCCTTACAACTTTCCTGTAGGCTTGACATTTTCCAAAATAAAATCTTTTCAAAAGGTAAATAAAATACCTGTTAAATAAGCATAGATGCGATTTGTACGTGTGGAGTGGGCACAGCACTACTCAGTCTCTGGTTGGGGAATATGGGATGAGTCAATCTCTTAGGAGTCTCCCGGCTTTCACATTCAAGGGTACTATCCCCACCAGCAAATGAACCATTTTCATATTTTCCACTCATAAGGCACATATGAAAATTAGCTGGGGGAAAGAAACAAACAAAAAACCCCAAGTTTCGGCAAGTGTCCTCCAGGGGCCTGTAAATGAGCTCGTGTGCAGGTTCCTCTCATAAACAGGGCACACAGACACACAGGCTGACTTCCTCCTCCACCGAGAGCTGCTGCAGCTTCACAACCATCTGCAGGGCATTCTTTTCTTTCGTTTTTTCCGTGCTTCTGGTGAGGTTTACTGGTGAGTTCTGTTTGCTCTTGGCCACCTCGCAGTCAGAGTTCTTCCAAGTGCTCATTGTTCCTGCTGAGTGCCTAACTCTTATTTCTCAGGCAGAATGAGCAGCCTCCTTAAACGTCTGGTTAGTTTCCAAGAGGGTCCTGGTGAGAAGCAGAGAATACTGGTCACTACCTGCAACCTTAGACAGCCAGGCAGCCCCAGGGCAAAATAAAACCTGCACCCTGGGCCTTGAAGTGAAGCCTGAACACAATATCCTCTGCCACAAACACCCATGAATAATGGCCCTGCCTGCAACAATGTCTGGCACTGAGTCCAGCCAAGCCAGTTGGGAGTTATAATCCCAGGACAAGACACTGTGGTACGCTGGTTTCCAGGACTGACCACTCACTTGCAGATGCTCACCTGGAGATGCCTTAGGAAGAGGCAGGCTTCCAGTGAGATAGACCTGGAGGGTGGGATGTACCTCGAAAGCGCTCTGCTCAGCTGCACCAACCATCCCGGGTCCCCGTGCCAGACCCTCTTCAATGGAGAGGCCTGGTGCATGGGCTGGCACTGAGGGACGCCCTGGGAAGCCAGCTGCCAGGGTATTTGGGGAAAGGGTATGCTCTGCCACTGCATCTGGGGTTTGGGTGGGACCTGGGGTGCTGCATGACTAACAACCCCCCTGTGGCTGCTGCTGCTGCTCTGAGGTCTTCATCCCCTGGAACAGTCTGTCCCAGCACAAACCTGAGTTGCAGAACTCACTTCTGACACGGGGGCCCCTGAGGAAGACGCTGTTTCCACACATCTCATGAATTTTGCTGTAAAACCGAGCTGCTGCTGTTTAGGACAGTTCTGTGCTGAGGTCAATCAAACCCACTGTTTCCAAGTAGGGTTGGTATGCAGACAGAGTGCGTGCTTGGACATCAGAGAGGAGAGGAATGTGCCAGCAATCACAAGTGCAGACAAACAGGGCACTGCCCAGAGCACCCCGATCAGAAGCAAATGTGTTCTCAGGGATGCCTGTCAATATGCCCTCGTCCCTTCTGTGTTGGCTGCTCCCTTGGGCTATGGGATTTGCCATTTTCTTCCACACTGGCAGCACCCTTCAGGCCACAAGAGAGCATCACCCCGAGACAGCGCTCACCTTCCTGTGGCTCTTCCAGGCAATGCTCTGCTATTTCCCATGAGTGCGAGAGACCTGCAGGGGCTGGGGGTGGACAGGAGGCTGACTGGGCCCTGCTGTTGACAAAGGCCCACTTGAAGGTGAAAAGATGGCCAAGAGATACCCTGGATGTGGAGGAACTGGAGCCAGCTACACTGCTGATGGGAGTGAGACACGGTGCAGGCCAAGGAAAACAGCCAGGCAGCTCTGTAGTAAGTGAAACACAAGAGTTCTAGGACCCAGAGATTTCTCTCCTGGGTGTGTACCTGAAAGAACCAAGCACAGGTGTTCAAACAACAGCTTGCACATGAATGTCCATAGCAGTATCACTGACAATGGGCAAAAGGCAGACACAACCCACGCATCCGTCAATAGATATACAAAGGTGATTCATCCACCCAATGGACTATCAGGCATTAAGAGGGAATGAAACTCTGACACTTGCTACAACCTGGATGAAGCCTGAAAACATGATGCTGAGTGGACAAAGCCAGACACAAAGGTCACAAATTGCATGACTGTATGTCTATGAAGTGTCCAGAATAGGCAACTCCACAGACAGAAAGCAGATTAGTGGCTGGCTGGGCGGAAGGGGATGGGGAGTCATCAATAAATTGGGTACAGGGCTTCCTTTTGGGGTGGTAAAATGTTCTGGAACTAGATAGTGGTAATGTTTGCACAACATTATAAATGTACTAAATGTCACTAGTGGTTAAGTTATGTGCATTTTACCAAGCACAATTTTAAAAAGAAACAATTCTAATCACAGTGGACATTGCAAAGGGGCTTTTTAAAAACATTTATTTATTTATTTATTTATTTTGAGACAGGGTCTCCCTCTGTCACCCAGGCTGGAGCGCAATGACACGATCTTGGCTCACTGCAACCTCCACCTCCTGGGTTCAAGCAATTCTACTGCCTCAGCCTCCTGAGTAGCTGGGATTACAGGTGTGCACCACCATGCCCAGCTAATTTTGGTATTTTTAGTAGAGATGGAGGTTTCACCATGTTGGTCAGGCTGGTCTCGAACTTCTGACCTCGTGATCTGCCCATCTCGGCCTCCCAAAGTGCTGGGATTACAGGTGTGAGCCACCGTGCCCGGCCTCAAAGGGGCATTTTTTATTCACAAAAGCATGGTGTAGATCTGCTTGCTGCAGGCATCCTGTGGGCAGCTGGGTTGTTTAGCCTTCAGAAGAGGGCAGTGGAGACACCCAGGATGAACAGAGGAAACGCTGATCACAGACAGCAAATGCTGACTGAACACTTACTAGATGCCAGGGGTGGTTCTTAGTGTTTATGTGTTTAAGTCTTTAAATCCACACAACTACCCCAGAAGGTAGGTTTTATTTTGTCTCCATTTTACATCTGAGGAACCGTAGGCACAGAGAGGTAAAATAATTCACCTTGGGGCGCAGAGAGAGCCCCTCGAAGATCTGGGATTTGCACCAGAAGTCCAGTCCACCTGTGAAGACGTTGCTGCTGCTGAGGAGAAAAAATGCCTGCAGGGCCCAGGATTAGGGCTCCCAGCGCCCAACGTTGTTGGCAAGAAGACATCATTTTTGGAATCACCAAACTGTGGACATCAACTCCCTCAGCTTTGGCGTCTTCTCCCACGAGATGAAAAGCCTGGATCTGAGAAAGTGGGTGACCAGGATGGCGGCAGTAGGACGAGGGCAGGTGGGAGAGAGGAGTGGCCAGTGCCGCTCCACAGTCCTCCGAGCAGACTGCTGAGGAAGCACCATGACTGTTCCCATTCTGTGTATTAGGGAACAGAGGCTCAGAGGGGCAGAGCCACTTGCTCAAGGTCAAATAGCTCAAAGATGAGGGGGCCGGAATTTAGACTCAAGGCTGACTGAGTTGAAGAGTCTGCTCCTTGCATTGCATCCAGCAGCTCTCTCGATGCTCCGTGAAACACTCAGTGTCCTGTTTCTCATGCCAAATTCAGAAAGAAAGATACACAGAAACAAATAGAAGGTCGCTCATAATGATGTCATCCAGAGAGATCTACTGTGGCCCCTTTGATGTGCTATGTGCCATTTGAGTCTATGTTGATGCATAAATATACATATTTACATATTCTTATAAAATTGGGATCATGACAAATATATGGTTGTCTCATACTTTTAATATTTTGTTTATATTTCAGATTAATTCGTTAGGAGAAAATTTGGTTTTTAAGGCCTGCATAGTCTTCCATCATCTGGATCCCCCAGAATGTAAGTATTTCTGTTGTAACTGTATCTGCTGTTGAACATGTGGGTTTTATTTGTTTACAAGTAAGAGTTTATTTGCTCTTAAAAATAATGCAGTAATGAACATAAGTGTTGGATTTGACATATAGTAGGTGCTCAATTAATATTTATGAGTGAATGAGTGATGGATGGACAAATAGATTTTTTAAGAGTGGGTCCTGGGTGTTAGCTTAGTTGGTCTAAAGTAGGCTGTCTATACCACAGGTTTGCCTGGGATACTTTCTGTTTTCTCCTGTTGTCCTGGTATCGTTAGTCATAGTGCTCCCTTTTATCTTTGAAAGTGTCCTTATTTGAATGATAAATTATGAGGTCACTCAGTCAAATGGCACAAACCTTTCTGAGATTCTTTATACACATTACTAATATCTCTACAGGTAAGTTGTACCAGTGTACACCCAATTGGTGATCTACTCCTGAAAGAGGAGGGCTGGATGAAAAATATCTTGATGAAAAGTTTGGGGAAAGGAATTAGCCTTGTGAAAAAGAAACTTGCCTTGGGAAATTCAGAAATGGCTTTTACCAATGAGTCCAATCCCCGCTCCGTTCTTATGTTCTTGAAATGCACAGTGGCACATTGAGCTTGGTACTTACTGTTCTTCCAGAATTTTAATAAAAGTATCCTGATTCTAAATGGTTATAGCTTTTAGGTGGGAGAACATTGAGTTTGTTACTTATTGTTCTTACAGAATTTTAATAAAAGTATACTGATTCTAAATGGTTATAGCTTTTAGGTGGGAGAACATTGTGATCCTGAAACTATTCAGAGTTGACTCCCAACTCAACCGCTCACCGCCAGCTGTCAAACTTTCAGCAAATCCCCTAACTGAGTCTTAGTTTCCTCCTCTGTGAATTAAGGATGGATGTATGTTGGTTTCAGAAGGCTATGAGGATTAGACATCAGGGCCCAACACCAAGAAAACCAGCCTCGTGCTACCTCCATCTAAATCCATCCTTTGCCTAGGGAACTGCCCACCCCATCAGTCCAGCAGCAGCACGGGCTCAACTCTTTCCCCATTTTCCACACACAGCTTCACTTTTCATTCTGGGATCCAACTTGGTCCCAAGGCCTGAAGGAGTTGCCTTGCTGGGTTAACTTTGTTGGAGGACTAGTTAAGCTCATGGCAGTGGTGAATGGTTCCTTACTTTAAAATGCACCCCATGTGCAGACTGTCATCCTGTCTGAAGTCTCCCTTTCAGAGGCTGGTCCTCTCTATGTATCTCCTCTTAGGCAATGTCCCTTAGAGCCAGTTAATTGATCAGTTTCCCTCATCTTTGGGGTCAGTAGGAATTGCCTGATGTGTGGAAGGAAGATTTACGGAAAGGAAGGAAAAGGGAGCCAGGAGGTGGGTCTCACCCCCATCCTAACTCCCTGAGTTCCTCTCTTGGAGAGAGTACTGCTACCAGAACTGTTGTCCAGGCAGGCGCTCCTGTAAAGATACGCTAAACATCTAAGTGTGGAATGACCTCACATTTCTGCTTGGCTGGGCATGCAGCGCTGTTTACAAGTGGCCTCATGGCTTTTGACAGTAAAAAAGAAAAAGCAGGCCAGGTGCAGTGGCTCACACCTATCATCCCCGCACTTTTGGAGGCCGAGGCAGGTGGATTGCTTGAACCCAGCCTGAGCAACATAGAGAGATCCTATCTCTACAAAAAATACAAAAACTAGCTGGGTGTGGTGGTGCACGCCCGAAGTCCCGGCTACTCAGGAGACTGAGGGAGAAGGATTGCTTGAGCCTGGGAGGTTGAGGCTGTAGTAAGCTGAGATTATGCCATTGCACTTCAGCCTGGGCAATGGGAGTGAGACCCTGTCTCAAAAAATTTTTTTTAAAGCCAACTTTGTAAAATATGATAAGAGGTTTATTTTGAGCCAGGATGAGTGATGATGGCCTGAGGGATGGTCTCGGTAGGTCCTGAGAAAGTGTACCCAAAGCGGTCGGGTTACAGCCTAGTTTTATACATTTTAGGGAGACAGAAGTTATAGGCAAAGACATAAGTCAGTATGTGTAAGGTGTACATTGGTTTGGCTGAGAAAGGTAGAACATGGCAAAGCAGGGAGGCTTACAGGTCATAGGTGGATTTAAAGATTTTCTGATTAGCAATTGGTTGAAAGAGTTAAGCTTTGTCTAAAGACTTAAAGTCAGTAGAAAGTTAAGGTAAGGGGTGTTGTGGAGACCAAGGTTCTTGTTATGTAGATGATGCCTCCTGGGTAGCAGTCTTCAGAGAGAATAGATGCTAAAGGTGTTAGACTTTTACTTAATCTCTCTTAAATCCAGTAAAGATCTGGCTGCATTGATGAAGATTCTCCACAAATGCAAAAATTTCCCTACAAATGCCTGTGTTGCAGGAGCATTTCAAAATATGTCAAGGAAATATATTTTGGGGCAAAATATTTTGATTTCCTTCAGTCTCTGCTATCTGTTATGTGATGCTATACCAGAATCATGTTGGGATTTGATATCTTATTGCCACAAAGAGTCTGTTTTGTCTGTCTCATGATCTCTATTTTAATGTTAATGCTGGTCAGTTGTGCCTAAACTCCAAAAGGGAGGTGTGTAACAAAGTGTGTCCAACCTCCCTTCCTGTTAGGGCCTGGAATCTAGTTTTTATTTTATTTTATTTTTTTGAGACAGAGTTTCACTCTGTCCCCCAGGTTGGAGTGCAGTGGTGTGATCTCATTGCACCCTCTGACTGGCAGATTCAAGCAATTCTCTTGCCTCAGCTTCCCAAGTAGCTGGGATTACAGGTGTGCAGCACCACGCCCAGCGGATTTTTGTATTTTTTGTAGAGACAGGGCTTCACTATGTTGGCCAGGCTGGTCTTGAACTCCTGACCTCAAGTGATCCTGTCAGAAGTATGTTAACCTGAGCAACTCTGTCTTGAGTAAAAAGCTAGGTAAAATGAGGCTGAGACCTACTGGGCTGCATTCCCAAACAGTTAAGGCATTCCAAGTCACAAGATGAGATAGGAGATCAGCACAAAATACAGGTCATAAAGATCTTGCTGATAAAAACAGGCTGTAGTAAAGGAACTGGCTAAAACCCACCAAAACCAAGATGGCGACCAAGGAGTGACCTCTGATCGTCCTCACTGCTCATCCCACTGGTGTCGTGACAGTTTACAGATGCTGTGGTAACGTCAGATAGTTGATAGTTACCATATATGGTCTAAAAAGGGGAGGCAGGAATAATCCACCCCTTGCTTAGTATGTCATCAAGAGATAATCGTAACACTGGGCAACCAGCCACCCTTGGGGCGGCTGTGTCTATGGAGTCGCTGTTCTTTTATTCCTTTACTTTCCTAATGAACTTGCTTTCACTTTACTCAATGGACAAGCCCTGAATCCAAGAACCGAGCGAGATCCAAGAACCCTCTCTGTAGGTCTGGATCGAGACCTCTTTCCTGTAACACTCTGCCCTCCTCGGCCTCCCACAGTGCTGGGATTACAGGTGTGAGCCACTGCGCCTGGCCTGGAGTTTAATTTTTCAGGTTGCTCTGGGGTCTTCCTGGCCAAGTGGGGGTGTCCGTTCAGTTGGTTGGGGGCTTAGGGTTTCATTTGGGGTTTACGTGGACCAACGAAGGAGGTGAGAGCACCCACGCAGCCCAAGGGAGCCTCAGGGACAATATTTCCTTGCACCCTTCAGCTGGCTTGAGGTCTCTCCATGGTGATTCAGCTCAGTCTCTTGGGTTTGGGTCTCAGAACCCCAGTCTGCCTCCCGAGGCCTCTAATCCCACCATTTCCTCAGTGTCTGGGAAGGTCAACCCCTTCTATTTTGTCCACTCTGACTTTCCTGTTTATTTGTTTTTAAATAGACTTCATGTTTTAGAGTTGTTTTAGGTTTACGGCAACATTGAGCAGAAGGTACAGAGATTACGCTCTGTTTTCATCTCCTGGTTTCTGTTAACAGGAAGGTACACATCTACCTCCTCTTCGCTCCTGGATTCCACCCACTCAGAGTTTCTGTTTCTCCTAACCTCAGTTAGGCATGACTCCTGAATGTCTGTCTTTTAACTTTTCCTTCTTTCCTCTTGTCATCAACTGATTAATTCTTTCTTTTTCCCAAGTAAACACCCTGATGGGTGCCTCCTATGAATTGGCTGCGCTCTGCTCAGGAGCCCAAAATTAACCCAGTAAATCATGGCCTCAGTGACTGCAGGATTAGGAACAGGGTTGCCTGGGGACTGTGGGTATGGCATACCTTGTGATTGACTTTTACTGTAGCAAATTGAATGTCACATTTAGAGAGTTTTGGTAACTCCTGTTTCCTCACTCTAGCAGCACAGTAACCCTGGGAAACAGTCTAGTCATGATTATCTGGGTATGTGAATTTTGGGATGATCCCTTGGCTGACCATCAGTGGTTAGAGGCAAAATTGCTGATGCCCAGAGGCAGGCTTTGGGTGATGGTGTTGGTGGATGGGGAATAATGGTGAACTCCTGACTCTCTCCTTCCCAGCCCAGGGAGCCAGGGGAAATATGCCAGGGGAATTTGACTATCCAGTGTTGGATGCAGTCTCTTGTGTTTCGGTCTGTGTTGGCCACAGGAGCCTTCATTATAGCTGAGCTAAATCAGAAGCCCTGGAGTCAAATGAAGGTCACGCCTGAGGCTGCATGTGCTAGCCCACTGGAAAGCCGTTTCCTGGTACAGAGTTGCACACAGGCTTGCATGCACAAATAAGGTCTTTCTTTCTGATTGCAATAGCTGGCTGCACAGTCTGTGGCTCAGTCGCTTCTCTCTGGCCTGACCCTTCCATGGTGGGCCTGTGAAGTCAGTCATTGCTGAGACACACGGACGTCCACAGCCTCTGTGGATGTCCGTGCCAAGCAGAATGCGCCTGGCCACTGTAAATCTGGCCCCAGTTTGGATTTAAATTCATGCACGAGTCCTTTTCCTTGGGCTTGACTGCTCTGGGATCATCTGCTCCCTTCTGGGAAATCAGCATTTCCTTTTTATCCAAATCAAAGGG